TCTTTTTTTGTGAAAACAATTTTGGCATAGTCAATTTTTTCGTGAAAATCAAAATAATCTTTATTTCATAGGAAGCATTATTACACTTGAAATCGTCACATTGCAATTGGTTAATCACTAGCGCTCATTCGTAAGGCAGATTCCCCTGAGAAGAATGAGCAAGAAACTCTAGGGAGTGTTTATTGTAAATAAACATTTGTACGCATTCAATATTTACAATATATTTTTTTTCTTTCAAACATTAGAGATTGAGACTACCTCCATGAGCTAAACGGTTTACTGCCACGGATTTTTCTCATCCAAGTACGCAGAAGTTGTATAGTAACCTTTAGTATAAAGTTTTTGTTTCACTATAGTTTTAAACCTCTTGAAAGGCAAATTTTGTATATCAACTGGAATCTTGTTATAGAAGCGTATAATACATTGCCTCTTAAATGAATTTGTCACTTTGTGAAGACGATTATCAAGAACAGCTAGTTTATTTTTATTCCTCGTATTAATGTTATGTCTGTCGCTATTTTTCGTAAAGAAATTACTATTCCTCTAACATAAATTACATTTTCATAAATGTACTGTGGCACTAGTGTAAGAATATTAATTTCCTTAAACTTATCTCTCAAAGATACTATGGGGCCCAGATTGTAAATTGCACTAACCGCACGTTTCTGCAGGACAAAGATTATATTGATATCTGCGGCATTACCCCAAAGCAAAATGCTGTATGTCATTGTGAAAGTAGCTGAAGTAAACCAATCTAGCGGATTCGACGTCTGAAAGTTTCCGTATTTTTTTAATCGCATACACTGCAAAGCCGAGCCGTTTTGATTACTTACTTATATGTGGACCCCATTGCAATTTAACATTTAACGTTATACCTAACAATACAACTGTATCAACAAGATTAAATTTTTCGTTTTTAACTACAATGTTTGTAAGCGTCTCTCTAACATTGGGTAATGTAAATTTCACACAATTTGTTTTTTTCACATTAAGGAGTAGGTTATTAACAACAAACCAATCAACTACTTTAGATATAGTATTGTTCACATCGTCGTAGGAACATTGGTGCCTTTTAACTATAAATAATAAGGAAGTATCATCAACAAACTATACTATCTCATGTTTTATACCCTCCATGACGCTAGGTAAGTCATTAATATATACTAAAAACAAAAATGGGCCTAGAATTGAACCTTGAGGGACACCTATGCTAATTACAGACCCTGATGTTCTCGTAGCGTTAACATCGACCCTCTGTACCCTACCACGCAAATGCGATTTAAGAAGGTCGAGGTCACGTCCTGCCACACCATAATGGCGAAATCAAGCGTCAGTTGTCCATAAAATTAATAAAATTGATCAAAATTTTGTGCTAAAGTGCTAATCGACTAAATTTCATGAAGGGATTATTATTTCAGTGCATAGAATGAAAAAAATCGGGACAGATAAAGTTGGTTAAATTTCATAACATTTTTTCGTACAAAATGAATAAAATTGACAATTTTTTTTATACGAATAAATACAGTTTCTTATAAGAACGATTTTATTGTATCGGAAGAAAAAAAACCGGGACAGCAGAAGTTGACCAAATTTAATAAAATGGGTGAATCATTAAGTGTGGCCAGGCGATTATTCCGTAAATAAAAGATAAATCAAGAACGTTTAATTGACATCGAAAGTACGTCACCTAATGAGTAAAACGACATCAATAACTTTTTTCAAATAAAACTGGGAATATACAATAATTGTTAACGTTAAACGGTCCCACACATAATGACATTCGTAGAGAGACTTTGGTTTCGAACAACTTTACTGCTTTCAAGACTTCTCGACTGCCATTGCAACTAGATTTTAGCATTATAACAAATATTATCATAATTGCAATATAATTTTAGTGGAGTTTCAATGAAATTGCAACGACCAGGGGTATCAAGAAATTGGTAGACCTGGGGTCCTGTACAGAGCCCGAAAACTACTAAACCGAAAACTGAAAACCTAGAACTCAATTAGATTTATTTTTGAGTTCCTTCTTAAGAAATGTACATACTTTTTTTAATTTAAAACTAAGTGCGCATTTGACTTCCATCTCACCTGATAGAAAGAGACGATGAAGTCGACGATGGAGCATGTGCACCTAAATAATGCCTATTCACTCTCGCCTTGAAATGGTCCAAGTTGTAAAGTTGTGACGTTCAGGGAACAAGTCTGCAGGCAGGGAATTCCACTCCATAGCCGTGCGCCATATAAATGTGGAAGCGTAACGCTTCGTGCGAATTCTTGGTATATCCACAACGTAGGGGTCCCCGGATGTTGGAAAGCGGAAGGCGGAATTAATACGTGCAATTCCCTCGCACACTCCGTGATATATCCTGTAGAATACCGATAACTAGGCAACTTTACGGCGGTGTTCAACGCTTTGCAGCTTCGCCTCTATTAATTCTGAGTCACCTATAAGCCTCTTGACACGCTTGTCAATTGAATCCAAGGTAGCCAGTTGGTATGTAGCAGAGCCATCCCATAGGTGGCAGCAGTGTTCCATTCACGACCCGGCTTGTGCTTGGTACAGTTGAAGCAACTGTCCCGGTGTGAAGTAACGCCTCACCCTGGAAAGGATGCCCAGCATATATAAACACGATGTACATTATATAGATACGAGTCATCTACTGGGGTAAGCTTCTGTTCACAATAGTCACTTGCTGTGCGCCTGATTTATCTCTTTTGTTCCCTCCACCTGTCTCTTCCACGTCTTTTCGTTGGCGATCGTTCATTTCTCGTTCTTCTGACCTTGCCTTGAGAACATCCTCGATCTAGTTGACATGCTTATCTATAATAAACTTGAAATATGTGCACATAAATTTATACTAGGATAATAAACGTTTATGACTGCTGTACTAAATTACTTAAAGCATTAGCCTACTTCATTTAAGATAAAAATGCTCGAGACATCTTAATATATGCGATACGATTTCAAGAATAATTTGCTTACTTACCTGTGAAACAAAGATTATTTTAGTTCAGATTCCTCGTTTGTCGATGAAAGCTGGGTGAAGGTCGCAGATGTCAAAGCTGATTGTCAATTATTTTTGTGTCGGTGTTTTCAACATCAATTTATGCTTCTTTTTTTACCAAAGGTATTTATTTCAGGGCTTCGAATCTGTGACACAGAACTTATCTATAAATAATTACTCTTTTTACGACACAGTAGAGTTTCTTATGAACAGTCCATTGAGGGAAGGATTGCCACCTGACCCATTTCTGCGGCCAAGCAGTAATGTGAACATTACTACATTCCGGTTTTGAAGGGTGCTGATAAAATTCAACTTATGTCTCTGGGTGACAGGCGCAGTGGTAATGCAGACTAACAGAGACTCCGATCTTTCCGAATTAAATTCTGAGCGGCGCTGCAATTATTATGGACAGGCGTGTCGCTTACCATCAGGCGCACGACACAACGTCCCGTTACTTGATATTATAAAAACAATTTGATGCTATTTCTCACAGTATATAAAATGACATAAAAGTTATTAAAAGATTGTTGAATGTTACTTAATATTTCTTACATTCAATCACCACCATCGTCAGTCCCAACACTAGCCACGGGTAATTTTAGTTCGCCTTGCTGATTAAATGCCAGAGTTCCTTAAAAACAAGAGTAAACTGAAATTAATTGATGCAATCAGCTTGTGTCCTGCACCGCAAAACCTGCTGTATAATAACAAATTAGTACAGAGTATTAAAAAACCGACCTCAAAAGATCGTGAAATTGCATCTATTTGCCAGGTTTTATTGCAATCGGTTACCGGAAAGTGCGCGAAACCGAGTTCATCTCCTAGTTTCCCACCGTTAGAGGTGGAATATTTTCTTCAAATTTAAATGGGACCATTACCGAGGTGCCCCCTTTCCAATAAAAAAGAGTCATCAAAATAGCGTAACATACATCCTCCTTTTTTTAAAAACGAAACAATGAATACTATCTTAATAATAGACGCAAACGTGTATCGTAGTATGAACAACGCGGTGCTTTAGCGACAGCCTTGCCTAGTACAATTTTGATAACAATCTTTATGCATTGTGTAGGTACGTTGTTATAATTTCTTAGAAACAAATTCCATGCCTATATTGCGCACATTCCAAAGATTCGCACGATGTGTTATGCTTCTACATTTATATGGCGAACGGCAAAGGAGTGGAATTCCCTGCGCAGACTTGTTCCCCGAACGTTATAACTTGGGCCTTTTCAAGGCGAGAGTGAATAGGCACATCGTCGACCATGAGTGAGGTCGCTTTGCATCAGGTGAGATGGAGGTTAATTATTTACTAATAAAAAAAATGTTGAATACAATAATTTGAGAAAGAAAAAGAAAGACTATGTAGTGAATGGGTTGGAAAAGGGAATGCTTGAATGGTTTAGTCATAAAGTAGTCACTAAGAATCTGCCCAATCCACAAGTCTGTCGAATTCGAATGTGCCGAATCACGATTCTGTTGAATTCAGAATTAGTCCGAATAAAGGGAGTCACTGCACTTATTAACGGCTTGAACCGGTTAGAAAAAGCTTTATGTCCATGCAATAAGACTGAAAAAAACAAAACGTAGACATTTAAAGTCCACTACCCACCAGAACAATCGTCACTTACACCTTCACAGTGAGACCTCTTTGTTTTTGAAAAGCCATCTCCCACTCTTAAATGCCTGTAAAGAAAACTATTGTTATCATCAACCCATTTATTAGTCCCGCTGCTGGGCACGGGTCTCCTCTTAGCCGTTGTGGGTAGGGGACGTTTTCTGAGGGTTTCATTACCCAAAAGTTAAATTAAATTTCGCACATAAATTCCGAAAATCTCAGAGGTGCGAGCCCAGATTCGAACCCACGGCCTTGCTGGAGAGGCGGTAGGTCAAACATTCGGTCTACCACGACTATATAAATAAAACTATAGAAACAATCAAATACTTTTGGAGTTGACGAAATGTGTGTTTACCTCTTCTTGTTTTAAAATCCAGGGAGAAAAACTTCATACAATTCCCGTGGATTTTCAAACGGTCCACACCGGTTGCGTGGTCAGCGACTTCATCTACTTCATCTTCGTGGGCTCTGACTCTTCATTCAGGCAGGAGCATCTTCAGACCCTCATAGAGCTGTATTACGAGACGCTTTGTGTATCCATGAAAAGGCTCGGAGTAGATTGTGCCGAGGTGTACCCGAGGAAGGAGTTTGACAGGGAATTGAAGGAGGTAAGCTTATTTCATTTAAGTAACGTTGGAAATCGCCAACCACAAAGTGGTCTGAGGTGTCACTTGTCATCCTAAGTCAGTTGGCATACAGGAGACCCGTGTTTACTGGTAGGTTAACGATCATAGTAATAAAGCATTTTACAGGCGATACTGCAGCTCATTATATAGGACGATGCTGCATATCATCATCCCTTGTAGCTTGCTACGGTACCTGTTGGATATGTGAGATGGTCCTATTCCATTTGGACCTGGCAATTACGAGGTACGACAAAGGGACAGTTGCTTCAGCTGTACCAAGCACAAGTCCGATCTATACTGCTGCCATTTATGGGATGGTTCTGCTAAATACCAACTCTGTATTTACAATAAGAACAGTAAGTCTATATGAATTTCAAACATACTTACTGTTACTATTGTAAACACGGCAGAACCGGCCACCATGGATTCAGTAGAAAAGCGTGTCAAGAGGCTTATAAATGACTCGAATTTAGTAGAGATGGTATTCTACAGCATATTGATATCACGGAGAGTGTGGAGAGTGTGCGATGAAATTGCATGATTTATTTCCCGCATCCCCTTTCTCCTTTCCACTCCTAAGCTGTGGATATTCCAAGGAAGCGTTTCGCGTCCACCTTTTAAAGGCGAACGGCTATGTGTAGTGTACGTAAGTGGAATACCCTGCCTGCAGACTTATTTCCTGAACGCTGTATCTCGGGCCTTTTGAAGGCGAGAGTAAATAAGCAATATGCTCCATAGTCGACCTCATCGTCACTTTCCATTAGTGAGAAGGAGCTCAAATGCGCACTTATTTTTTTTATAAAAAAAGATGTTCTCCCGTCTGTTCCAGGTGCTCCCCTACGCTGTGTTCCTAGGAATAGCCCTCCTACCAGTGGTACTGGTAGAGGCGGAGAACGCACCACGCGTCGACGGAGACTCGGACGTCGACAACTTTCTCCTCGCCCCCAACGATCTTTACGTGGAGCGTTTCAGGGGCATTGTTGAAGACTGCATCAAACTTGGAGCTATTTAGATTTTGGGACAATTTTATTTGACATAGATAAGGATAGGTAAATTTAGAATAAAGTTAGGTTAACGCAGTAAAATTATCTCAATGCCACTTTTGCCTTGACTCACTGAACAATATTCTCACTTTAATGTTTCATCGTTTGCCCATTATGTGCTATTAATGGAATATGTGAGAAGACCAAGAGCGGTGGTAGGCCCACAGTCGGAGAATGCTTGTTCCTTGTTGTACTTCTGGCTGGGAACACATCGTGATTATACTCTGACTGACTGTAGCCTAAATTCTCTCTTCGAGGAAACCTGAAGTGAGGTTGAGTTGACCATTAATTTGTCAGTTGTTTTGTTAATGATCTACAGACTGCCGGAGTTCAGAGATGTTGTGGCGTAATTGTAAAATAAACTAATTTCAATTGAACCATATTATTATACTCGAATAGTACAAATAAATCAAATAGAAGTTTATCATTTAATGTTATACTATCAAATTTATCAGTATTTTAAGTTTATTTACGGATTTTTAATCAAAAAGACACCACACTAAAGTACACAAAAATATTAAAACAACATAATACATAAAGAACTCTTTTTGCCTATAAATCCACAATTTAACTATTTATAAATACATAAAAAATGAATTGAGACCACTTAATGTGTAGTAGGATTAAGTTGACTAGTAATAACTAGTAATTTTAATAATTGAATCAATGTAAGGTGACTTAGTTAATAACTAGAACAAGTTGCTAAGGTATGCCACGCACTTCACGATTGTTCTTCACGTTGTTATTGAAGTGGAAACTGGTCGATCGCGGTAAGGAAATGTGTACTACCAAAACGATTCTTGAATTTTACAAGTGTTGAAAAAAAAAATGCTTTCATCACACCTAGATTTCTGTTTATTTAATGAAATAACAATTGCGACGACACATTAATAATTAATATGGTAATCATTTCATGTACGAGTACATAATCTTTGTTTTGATGAACGTCAATCCTATATTTTATTATGGGTTTTTTTTACGAATTGTATAATGTATTATTCGGATAAGATTTAATTGAATTACACTTCATCAGTGTACATTGTTTAATGTGCTTTAGAACTATTAATACTTAGTAACTATAACATAAAGCGAGACATTGACTTTCCTACTGGTGGACAGAACAAGTTACGTAAGGGAGTCACTATACTTATCGACGTTGAATTAGTTTGAACCGTTCAGAAATCAAAACAACGCATGCAATAAGTGCAAAACTGTCCTGCATTTTGTTTCGGCCGGTGGGGCATTGCATAATGATCTTTTCACTCTTTTAGCATGCACACAAAGTAATTTTCTGACCAGCCTAATTGCGTCGACAAGAGCGATGATTCCCTATGACATACTTTAAATTAAATGTGTAATCGATATCAGGTTTTGAGACTGCGGCAAAGAAATTATGTGCACTACTCTTAGCAAAAAGTTTTTTATTATTGTAACCGCACCTCAGTACACTCGTGTCGATTGACATTTAGGGCTGTGAATGACCCGCTTTATAAGATATCGTTTATAACAAACTTGAGGCTGTTTACGGCAGAGGGTAGCCAGACCAGTACATAGAAACATGCCAATAGTCATGTAGCACCTTAAATTACTTCTTACGCGACCTTGTATATGACAACACAGTGTATTTCTGCTACTTATTAACCAATGACCTTAATAAAGCTACCCGCGTCATCGACCTGGAGCTCCCACACTATCCTCTAAGGCACGACACGTCGAATTTATTATTCCCATTTAAATGTAGATACTCTATATTTAGTTGGAATATGGGAATGTGCTCTAGATGGATGTCGTGAGCAGCTCTATTGTATATAGTTCTTAATACTATTAGGTTTAGTATCAGGCGGCACCTTCTGTCTTTCATTCGTAAGTTGTGAATATTGCGGGACCAATTTGATCAAACAACTTAATCTATAGATGTAATGTTAAAGCATAATAATGAAAAAAATTAGAATAATAATGAAGATTGTGATAAGATTAATTGAAATTTTCAAGCGACGGACGAGTGTGAAATTAATTTCGTGTGTTTTATGTTTATTGTGTGTGATTATTTTGAGAATTTGAAATTGATAATAAATGATAATAAATTTGAAATAGTTTTTCTACACATTTGTTACTTGTCTAAAATTGAAACGCAAATTCTGAATGATCATCGTATTTAAGAGCCAGACTCTTGTCGGTGTAGCCTCCACGGTTCATGGCCAAATAAAAAAATATCAATGTGAAAACAGCTATACAGAGGTCAAATACTGAATACTCTCCCTTTAATGTTGCATAGTCACAATGCAATAAATGATAATGACATTTATTGCATTGTGTGGTACAGAAAAGGTCTTACGGTTATTACATACTGCAAAATTAACCTTGTAAGGCTACTACAACTTAACTTAACCCTAATGGCAGGGACTTGAGTATGATTTCGAGTGCTTTAAGCCATACTCAAATCCTGACTTGAGTATTGCAGTGAGCACTGAAAATCATACTCAAGTCCTTGCCGTTAGGGTCGTATTTCCAGTGCTTGAAATCATACTCAAGTCTGCTCAAATCCTGACTTGAGCATTGAGTAGAGTTTTGGAATACGACCCTAAGTACTACATTACCTATTTTCATAATAAAAAAAAATGTAAATTATAAATTATTAAAAATTATCAAAATCGGTTCAAAAATGGCAGAGTAATCGTGTAGGTACACACGTATAATACACACGTTTACACACAAAGAAAACAGTCGATTAGAGAACCTCTTCCTTTTTTGAAATCGGTAAATTTATTGCAATATGGGCAGTATCTGAGGTAGCTATTTTTTACTTTCCACGTTCTTTTTACTCATACCTTTGGAACGTATTAACGGGTATTCTTTTGCCTCTATAATACATTCAACAGATAATACCAAATAAAATAAAAACGCATGCTGCTATCGCATTTGGTATCCGTATTATTTAGTAAGGTATATTAAATATAAATACAACATTCTTTACGTAAATAGAATAGCGCTCATGTCGTATTAGGTACCTTATATATTGCGCAGGTATTTAATAACTACAAATAATTATCGCTGCCATTGACATGCCAAGGTATGGTCGAGATGCAATGCCAAGGAAACTTCCTTGATTTTGATCTAGAAATAAATTGTCCGTTAACGCCTGATGGGTTTTCTTTAGCAAAAATAATATTGTGTTATATTGCTTGAATGTAACTGTTATGGCCTAGTAAGAATAACGATATCATCCTTGCAGGAGGTGATGGGGATTTTTATAACAGTATAAAAAATATTATTTATATAGTTTTTTTTATATTATAATCTGTAAATGCAGTAAAAATGTAATTAATTTCAGCCAAAAACTATCTTTTGGAAACGCACTAAGTGGAGTAGCGCTTGCAATAGCTTTTTACTACTGATAGGTTAAACAATTAAAACATACTTATGGAAACTCTTATAATGGAAAAGGATTAATGTTTTAAATTGTGTTTTAAAATGTCATATACCAGATTAACGTACGTAAAGGAGACCAGGCGCTCGTCAGCGGGGCGTGTAGTGCATCAAACCTAAAGAAACACAATTGTCGAAATGGTTTGTTGAAAATTGTGGCTAACGACATTTACATAGCGTTCAAATTGTCTGTTTTTAGAAGTGACAGTTTGTGTACTGTACCTAAGGGTTGTGTATTGGGAGCCCGCGGGTAATGAGAGCGGTGTTAAACTGGACTTTCCCAATGCTCGTGTTAGTGCAAACGGCACTCCTGTGTCTTCGTTAACGTTCGACAAGGTTCGAGTCCCGTGGACTGGACGCCCCCGTAGAACCCCGCGTTTAGTCGTATGAGATGGTTGTGTGTTTTCGCTCCGCGCTTATAAAATTCGCTAAGTTTCATCAAAAAGCATTGATACTGCATTGTATTTACACTAGCTATGTCACCATATCCATCAAATTTTAGAAGTTATGCTTGAAATCAAAATAAAAATAGAAATGCTTTTACTGTTTTATTCCTTTTTCAATTCGATGGTACGCGGGTAATGAGAGCTATTTGGCTCTCCTTATCCCATTGCAATATTCACTGGATAATCCTTTAACACTTTCTTGTTTATCTCATTACTTTTTAACTTATCTAATTTATTACTTTAATTTTTTTTTCAGACTAATTATATACAATGGCTCCCATTTGATATTTGGGATTCTTACCGGCTCCCATTTCCCGAACTGTGGAGTAATGAGAGCGAATGACATGTTTTAGTTTTTTCTTTTTTAACCAAATATTTTATTTTAGTTTCATATTTTTGCTTTCATTATCTAGTACCCAGATATGTGAAGCGTACGTTCATAACCAATAAAAAATTAAATTGCATAAATTATGACTTTTATTGAGATCTTAGGTTTTCGCGATTGTTACACATAGGAAATGAAACTATTTTTCCGGATTTAAATCGCGTATATTTGTTTTTTCAAACAAACCGACGCTTCGGGCCCTTTACAGGTCCCATGGTCACGGTTGACTGAGGTGGTACAGTCTTCAACCAGTTATATATATAACTGAGGTGGTACAGTCTTCAACCAGTCCCTATGACTTTTATTGTCAATTTTCCTTAGTAGGCTCCCATTCCCCCACGCTCTCCTACATTCCTGGATAAAGCCCGGGTGCGGCAGTTGAAAACTACTTCTATAATAATATGTTAGTTTATAGTGTTAGTAGTTTTTAAAGAAAGTGGCGATGTATGTATCAATATTATCTTTTTTACTTCTGTTACTGCTAGATACGGACCTACCTACGACACAGGTTAAAACGGCAGGTACGAGTTTTGGAATTCTTATACTTTTAAAATCCATTCTTTTATTTTAGGAAGTCAATCGAGTTGGACTCCCTGAACTTGATTTCCACATAAACCGCAGTCGCGAAACACGCTACACGTCTCAAGGAGAGGCCGCACCGCGAGCGAAACCGAGCAAAGTTAGCTTAGCCCACGTGGCCGCGGCGTGTTTTTATACATCTGTTCACACCGCGAACTAAGATAATCCCGCTAATCGCCCTTTACTCCCGTGGGGGGAAAGACTAGCGTCGAGTGGCAGCACTCACCGAACAATAAATACAGTAGAAGTGCTTAGTTTGGGTTGCACGTGTGCCACCAGTACGCGGAGTTCCGCATACTTGAGCTCAGTACGCCATTTTCACTTTGTACGTTAAGATCGTGTCAATTATCTCGCCCAAAACCTCGAAAATTGTAGAAAAATGCCTTATTTCGCTACTTTGGAGTGCAGAATTAACAGTCGCATTTGTAATATTGTCTGTTTATTACTCTATTTAGTTTTAATAAACTTTCAATTTTCGAAAGCGAGATGGGTGGACAACATTGTCAAAGTTGCGGGCAGTAGATGGGTGAGATTAGCACAGGATCGTGGTGGATGGCACAATGGAATGCTATGGAAGGCCTATACCCAGCAGTGGGTGAAGTCGGGCTTTGGATGATGATGATTCAATTTTCTGTGTCTTATAAATTAACAATCTCGAATTTGCTGCTTTAAGCTATTAACCGCTAGATGGCAGCACATTGGTTGAAATTTCAATATAGTATCAAAACGTCGAAAGTAGCAATAATAGGTATTGATGGTATTGAATCAATGATATGCCAATAGGGTAAAGTTTAAATTATATTAAAAATCCAGAATTTGTTATTTCTTTTCAAATTGAAACTACGACCAATCAATATCAAGATTTGCAGTGTTTCAAATTAAGAATGTGTGAGTTTTGGCGACAATTGCTCTCATAGTAACCGAGGTCTATGGCACTTCCATTGTTTTTTCTACTGTGGCAGTACTTCCTCATAACGTTAAATCACGGATTCGCTCTGGACCTTTTGGAGGGAAAAGTGTCGTTTTTATTTTGACTTTCAATTATTTTGTGAAATCTAGTTTAAAGTGGAATAGGATAGTGCTATTGTCCCTTAATCGAAGATTAAAACGCGAAATTATACGAATCTCGAACTAAAATACCCTTATCGGCCCGTTCTAAGGAATCCCGAGTCAATCCAACCACGCCGCCTCAAATTGCCTATCCCTCTTTGTGGCGGCCATATTTACAGAAAAACTTATTTTTATGTTTTCGGCTGAAGGACTTTGTTTCCAAGGCTAGAAATAAATTATAAAAAAATTATTACGTTAAATCACAACGAATAAAATATGAATAGAATAAAGAATGTTATGATTTGGCAATGGCGAGAAGCGCCATCTACATTTAAAAAAAGTAATTGATCCCTCGGAGACGGGTGGTGGTGGTTAAGAGCAATGGTAGCCTAGTAGGAAAAGGGTTACTTCTCAATTGTGAGATCGACGAATCGATTCCCGGTCGCGGTATTTAAAGATTTTAACTTACAAATTATCTACATTTCTGAATGTTTAGTTGCAATATCCGTTTTATTTATTTATACTTTAAACCAATTTCAATAATTAATTAAACATTATTAATAAATTAATAATAATTATATAAGATTTAAATACCTTTCAGGTATCCCTTTCCGTAGTAACGCAGACATTCTGACAATATTCCTGACTATCCATCCGCAAACAAGTAGCATTCAGGGTTGGTGGCAACGAGAGAATTGAGGGCCGACGCGTGCTGCGGTTCGCGATCACGGGGTGGCAAACAACTTGTGTTTTCTATTGTGGTGATAGTTGTTAGGCGCATAGAGTCTCTTGCTAACGGCGAAGAAAAACGACGTTCGAAGAACATCGTAGAAGGAACCAGTAGAGTTCCTTTTGGAAGAGTTCTACATAGAAAGTACTGCTATTTTACCTATTTCTATCAGAAAGCAGTAATGTGCAGCATTACTGCGTTTCGGTTTTAATGGGTACCTAAGGGTGCTGGTGAAATTACAGACACATTGGACTTTGTAAGTTATATCACAGATTTTTGCGATTTAAACCTTTATCTACGACGGTCATGGACAGGCGTGCCGCTTACCACCAGGCGCACGACTTGTTCGTTCCGTTACTGGTATACAGACAAATAACGTATTTATTTTTTCATGTCTCTGTCATCTCCGGCAGTAAAACGTCACTTTTCATTTTATGTCATAAAAAAGTTAAGTTAATAAACAAATTAAACGTCTCGTGTGTGAGAATAAAGCAACTACCAATAAAGTGGTCAAACGGGTAGTAAGCCTCAGTTTCCTCGTAAGTAATGTAATGTAATGTAATGCTCGAGATAATTGTCCCCCACTTTGTGACAATGTGCTGCGACGTTACACTGCGTGACAGAAATGTATCACATCAGGGTTGGCAGTCTAGAAAAGGATCAAAAACTTACGATTGTAATTGTCACATGGATTAAAAACTACTACTTAATCATTCCTAGGACAAATTCCCCTTTGTAAATAAATATACATTTGAATATATTTATTATCGACAATATTTATTTCAAACATTATATAGATTGAGACATCCTGAAATAGTTAAACGAGCCACTACCACGACTTGATTTTTAATACTTGATTTTTTTATGATACCACGTGACGGTTCGAGTGAGGTAATCGACATGTCCGTCTATAAGGCTCAACTCACTCAGGCGCATAGTCGAAGCGTCGTCGCGTCGCGTTCTGTTTTGCAACGACAACGTCTGGCGACGAGAGTCGATGCGCGACGGCGCTCGCATTAGTGCGCCCGGATCACAAATTTGTACCATAATGATGGGAAAATAGAGATGAATATGCTATAGGCGAAAAACATGACGCGACGCTTCGACTCTGCGTTGTGAGTTGAGCCTTATCAGTCGCAGTGCCATTCAGAATTTCAAATCGCAAAGATTTGAGGGGCATTGCCACTGCGCCCGTCACCCTGACACGTAAGTTCACAAGTCGTATGTGCTTGTAATTTCACCATAACTCTTAATCCTTAAAACCGGAACGCAGCAATGTTCACATTACCGCTTGGCGGCAGAAATAGGTCAGGTGGCAACTTCCCTGGACGCACTCTTTCACAAGCAGCTCTACTGCTTTGTTTATATTTATCATTTACAATATCTACTTCAATACCATAGACATAATAAAAGCTAAATGGGGTACTGTTGTCGATTTTTATCATCGAAGTACGTAGAAGCAGTACCTATATAACAAAGCTTTTGTTTCTCTTACCGGAATCTTAAATATGAATCAGATATAAAGTAGCAAACCAATTAACATCTGTAACATCTAACACTTTAACTAACAAAAATCGACATTACATATAATACGTTTTTTTGCGGTAGAAAATGTAAAATTTGTAACAGCTTAAAAATAATGATGGTTATGTAAATGAAAAAACCTTTTTTAATTCCTGTTTACGAATTTTTCAAGAACGCAAAATTTATTCAATTCAAATGTTTATTGCAAATCATCATCGTCAATAAAATGGGCCACTAATTGGTGGTCTACACGTGACGACCTCGCACGCACGGTAACCTCGAACGATTGGTTCGACCAACCTGACAAACCTGTATTAGAAGGAAACCAAAAGTAATGAATGAAAAAAGTCGACAGTTCACAAATTTTTTGTCAATTGAGATAAAAATAAAATGACCGGTCAGTCTTTTGAAAAACACTGCATTATTTGGGGTTTCTTAAGACTCTGTACAACCTCAAATCGCTTTGGTTGATTCCGCATAGTAGTGAAAAAGTTGAATCAATCAATTTGGAAAAAATATATAGTAAAATTAAGGATATACACTAATACGGATATACGGTGTGAACACACGATTCCTTAAAATTTTCGCGATAGAATAAAAACAAACTTACCTGGAAATTTTACAAATAAACCGCTGTATTCAATAAGTACTTTATATGTATATATATTTTTAAATATCAACTGAACTGAATAGAACACGTATACTATACGATATACATTTTTCCAATAGCTTTAATACGTTTGTAAAAAATAAATTCTGAAATAAAGCTAGTGTACGGGAAAAAAAGAAATCGAACTGAGGCAGTATTGACCCTTAATAGTGTTTCGGTAAATGTGAGTGCGTGTGTAGAACATTATTAATCTCTATGCAATAAAAAAAATTGGAGAATTTTGTAGGGCTTTTCGTACATCATTATCATGACAATATAATATAATAATAACGCACACACTCAACATAGCCCCGCGCTAGGGAAATCCTGTGTCGCGGGTGCTATGGACACATAGACAATCACAAATTACACCCAAACTCACGAGAGAAATAAATGTAGGCTATATAAATATTTCTCCCGGCCCGGGAATCGAACCTGGGACCCCTGCGTGGCAGTCCGGCATGGTAACCGTTCGGCCACTGAGGCAGTCAAACATGGCACGGAATATTAATGGTAAAAATAACAGCTCGGTTCTTTCAGGGTTAAAAAGTAAATTATAATCCTAATTAAGTTTATTGGAAGGGAGTGGTGAGATAGATTTCTCACAGATGGCGCTACGACAAAAAAATCGTTAAAAATCCAAAACAAGAATCTGCAACAAGGACATAGAAATATTCGTAAGGTCTGGTTTCGTTCCGTGGGTTAGTTGGCATAGCGTCTAGCACGGCTTGCTAGAAGACGCTGGTTCGCATCAAGCCGGATCGTGGGAATTTTTTCTAAATATTTAATGCTTGGTATTAATAATGATTACATATTATAATAATAATAATAATAATAACGCACACACTCAACATAGCCCCGCACTAGGGAAACCCTGTGTCGCGGGTGCCATGGACACACACATAGACAACCACAAATTACACCCAAACTCACGAGAGAAATAAATGTAGGCCATACACATATTTCTCCCGGCCTGGGAATCGAACCCAGGACCTCTGCATGGCAGTCCGGCATGGTAACCGTTCGGCCACGGAGGCAGTTAAAATAATCCTTTTAAAAGAACGCAGATTCCCTTAACTAGCCTCTTTTACAGCCAAATATAATACGAATTTATACGTGAGCGTACAAAGATTAGTATTTCGAAGATTAGTATTTCCAAGATTCTATAATTACGTCCAATAAAGAAACGCACATCGGCATAATAAGTAATTTGATTGGTATTCTTAAAACATAATTTGAATTTAAATTATAACCGCTAAAATGTTTACGAAGAACATAAACTTATAGTACACAATCACCGGGTGTCATCTTCAGCAAACCAAAACGGAAATAAGAAAGTAACATTTAAATAAATTTAAAACTTTATGGTCACAGCCCTGACGAGGGCGAGTACTAAAAGGCCAGTGTCAGGTTATATCCCTCACTAACAGTAAGGAAGTGACCAATGGTGTACAAGTACAACATAGAACAACAAACAATTGAACAAAGTGAATTGCTAAAACTAAAAAAAATTTCTATATTCATTTTAAAAACAAAAAAGAGGTAGTAATTCAAGACTAAATCAATCCGCAGCGTAAGCTTTGCCAGAAAAATTAAACAAAAAGTGAACTTGGGAAATTAAACTATTTTTCCGGATTTAAATCGCGTATATTTGTTTTTTCAAACAAACCAACATTTTGGGCCCTTTACAGGTCCCATGGTCACGGTTGACTGAGGTGGTACAGTCATCAACCAGTTATGTCTAATATTAATAACCAACCTTAGCGTTTAAAAGATTGATTGTACTGCGTTTTGTCCGGCATAATTGTAGACAGTGTCTTATTAGATTAGATTATCTGCCAATTGCTTGAAGTTCTCCTTGATTTCAGTAGAAACCAAACGGGAAAACCCTCGCGTACGCTCGAGCGTGTTCTTGGCCAAGGTGTGGGGCATATGGCGAATTTAACGACACGGGTGGCCAAGCCGTTTCACCAGGGATCTTGATTAAATTGGTTCTGATAGGTGTTATCTGGAAATAAAATAGTTTGAGCATAGATAGTGCAAATTTTCTGTGGTTACAGTGCACATTTCCAGTGTTGTTGCACGTGGTAAATGATGGATTGAGGCCTAAGGCCCCGCAAACTGCAATGGGGAAAGCGCTAAATGCCCAATACAGATTAGAATGTACTAAATATTAGATACTTCAGGCCTAAACAATTATGCCATCAATTTTGTATGAAAAACAATGTGTTTTTAGCCGACTTTAAAAAGGGGAGGAGGATCTCAATTCGAGTGCATTTTTTCTTTGTGATGATTCTTTTGTTGTTGGAAAGGGGGCACGTCAGTAATGATCCCATGCAAATTCGAAGAAAATATTCCTTTAACAAAAAAATATTAAATTACACAATATTATTCTGAGGTAGCAAATTAGGGGTTGAATCCGTTAACCGATTTTAATAAAACTTAACGTTTATATGTAATTCCACAAACCTTTGAGGTCGGGATCTCTATAAAAAAAAATCATAATTGTTTATAAATATTTTCATCACATTCCCATCATCTACATTGGACGTTTACGTGATCACAGGAATAATGTTGTCTGGGTCTGCATGTTTCAACATGCTGTATACATTTTGATGTACACGAAGGATAAAGCAAGAGAGGCAAACACAACGACTTCACAAAACCAGACAAAACCCGTAATAGATCAAAGAATAGTTTTGTTTAATTTAAAGTCGTTTAACACAAACCACGCACTGTCAAACTCTTTGATAATACCTAACGTCGCTAACGCCAGTCGTGTTGTATTTTTATCGCGGCTCAAGCAAGTTCGTATGTTCACGATCGACGACGCATACCACGGACCTGTCGCATCCTCCGTCTCGACTTCCGTTCTGCACACAATGACACTGGCAAAAAAAAACAATAATTCAATGACATCAGAGAATCCTCTGCTGTGCGCTGGCGCACATACCTTGCCTGTTATCGATGAATAGATAGATAAAAACTATATTCACTTCCATGATATAGAACTAATTAAACTGAATAGTTTTGAAACTTATGACAGTGAAGCGGCGCACGCGCCGACTCAGCATAAATGCCGCGGTTGTCCACGACGACGCTGGTATTCTGCCAGGACCCTGTTAAAAGAGACGCTACTCTTCATCTCAGACAAAGTTCTGGCGTTATCGTTTAATTTAAAAAAGATTATTTATTTATTAAGTCCTTTTACAGTCGTTTCATTTGACAGACTTATCTTGTGTCCTTTTCATCGAAATTATTGTTTAAATTACGACTATTTGTATGACGTCAATGTATTTGTAAAAATTTGTTAAATAAAAAAATGCAACTGGTTTTTATTAACGTAAAATGCCTTACAAAGCTGACACGAACTTCGATCGATTTTTACAATAACTATATTTAAAAAGGTTTTGATAAATACATTAGTTGACAAAATGTATTTGGTACTAGTGTTTATTTTATTAGTGAAACAAAGTTTTGCTGTGATCTATAGTCTAAACGGTAAGTAACAAGCATTTTAAGCTGTTTAATTATTACTTAAACTTTTTTTTCTAATACCAAGTGACGGGACGAACAAGTTGTGCGCCTGCTGTTAAGCGACACGTATCCATAACAGTTGCAGTGCCACTTAGAGCTTTTAATTGCAAGATCTTAGAGGCACTGCCACTGCGCCCGTCACCCTGAGACACAAGTTGACAAGTCCCATGTGCCTGTAACTTCACCAGCACCCTTAACCTTCTAAACGGGAACGCAGTAATGCTTACATTACTGCTTGGCGGCAGAAATAGGTATAGGCTTTCACAAGAAGCTCTACTACTGCTTCGTCCTGTATCTACGTCATTTTGTATCATAAAAAAGGCACAGGTAGCGCGTTCGTCAGATTTGTACGCACCCTAATAGCTGTTATTAAACATGAGACATATTTCACAGTCTACTCAATAACTGAATCTCCAGATGCGTTAGAACTAGTGTCATCATCTGGTTTTTATATAAAAATTATTTTCGGCGTTGAACTTGAAATAAAAAAATACTAGCAATTAGTAAGAGTGTAGCGAGTAAATAATGTTATTTCGACTGGACTGCACAATATTAGAAAGTTATGTGGGCTATTATATTGGATTCTCATAAGCTAGACTAGACTACCGATCGTTACTTAACGCGATCCTGGCAACCCTCTCTTGCTGCAGCTGCATTCATCAATGTTTTAGTACAAGTCATCTTATATTTCTCACTACGCAGCACAGTTTATTTAAGAACACTTTCTTTTCATCTGAAAATATTGTTTGTGGCAAAAATTAGGACTAAAGATGCGAAAGAAATTTTAAAATATTATTATAACAGACTTTTCTCTCATAATGTAGGTGTAAGCAAAATTTGGGAGCCAAAACATTGAAGCTAAGTATTCTTTTTAAGCCAGTGGAAGGTAACAATCGTTGGTATGTGAGACCATTTTAGACGAGTGGCAATATCGTAGTTACGTGCTTCACTTACTAATAGGTTAGTAGAGGTCTAGCTAAATAAAATTAAGTTTTATTGTTTCGATGTATCTTGTGGCATTGAAAATAAAAGCAATGTTTGGTTAGGTGTTTAGGTAATATATTGTATTAGAATAGGATAAATTAGTTATTATTAACTTTTGTTAGTAAACACGCGTGGTTGAAGTGAACTCAGAACCTAATTCGTCCTAGACACCCGATATCTGATAGTGCTTCTCTTCTTCTCATCTGATAGTGATAGTCAGACGCTTGTAGAGTATATACCTAAAAATGGCGAAATGTTCTGTATTGTATCGTAAAAGCTATGATAATAAAAGAAGTAATATGTCTTCACACAATATATTTTTATTGTATTTTAATAACTATTTTTGGGCAAGCCTGTCGCTAGATTTTGGATTAAAAGAAGCGCTTTGAAACTACTATAATTAAGTAAATAAACATTTTGCTTTGCGATGGAAAGCGATTTTTTTACAATTCGTACCCTTGGTGGAAAGGAGAAAAATGACCAAGAAACTCTAGGGGTTGCTCTTTGTAAAGAAATATTTCTATACACTTATGATTTCGTCTGTTTGAAAGTAAAACCACATAAGTGATATTTTCCACAAAAAGTCTCTAATTTATATTAATATTAATATATAGCTATATAGTAAGAAAATCACTATCTGCACGTGAAACTCAATAAACAACTATAAATAAAACTATAAACTTAATAAGAGTTATACTGCACAAAGATGGTGAGTTTACGACCGGTAGGTATTCGGAGATATTTTTGTGGAAAATGTCACTTTTGTGTAAGCAGACGATTTACAATATTGATTTCATACTATATCAAGACTATCTGCTAAACGTTATGTGCGTACTTACGCAGAAGATGTAAAACAAAGTTTTTTGTTTCACTGTAGTTTTAAACTGAATGACAATTTTGATAGATAGATAGATACACTTTATTTACTTGTATGACAGAAATACAGATTGAATACAATAGGAAAAATAAAACCATTTTTTGTCATAGCAGTGTAATGGCGCTGACTCAGCATATGCCTAAGTCCCCTCAGGAATTGGTTTTCAGTCAGAACCAACGAGAAGAATTAAATCTAGAAGTTTGTAATGAAAGACGATTATGAGGTAAATAATATTTAAATTTTTATTATATTTAATTTGCGAATAACTTTTTGACCTGACATTTTATTAAAGAAGCGTGTACATTGCTGTCGTCGATAAACAGTATATTCCTATCTATCTTTGAAGTAAGACCAACAACCTTAGGTAACTACTATATATTTATCGAAATCGATAGACTTCACCGTCCTAAAAACAATATCGCTGTAAAGTTCTTTATAAAAATAACCCGAATATTTTATATATTTTCGCTCACTTTTTGCTAGATGTAGGATGTGTGTGGTGAATGTTTGAGAGGTTTTGGGAGAGGACGGAAGAGCGTCTGTGTTCAGTAAATTTGTATAATAAAGCCACATGAGATCGTATGTAAATCACAAGGAAATCATATATACAGATACAGCTTAATGCCGGGCGGAAAAGCGGATAATTAATTAAAAATTTGAGATGATGCGGAAGTGGATTTTTTTTCAGTTCGAAAATAGGTAACGGGCGGTTTATGCGGTTTTGGCGTGACACGGATTGGGATGGGAAAGGAAAAGGACATGAGAGCTCAGGCATAAACTATCTGGCGTTACTACTTTGTTTAAGCGTAAAAAAGCTATCAACTAATTCGTTCTTAGAAACTTAAAACCTCGCATCAGCAATTTTTTAGTAGCAGTAGAGCTCCTTGTGTAATAGTTCGTCCAGGGAAGTACTGCCACATTACCTATTTCTTATTTATTACATTATTTATTTGTTAAAAGACCCTTACCATTCGTAGTAATGTAGACACTTACCCTTCTAAACCGGAACGCGTTACTGCGTTCCGGTATATATAATAGTATAGCTTATACTATGTCTATACTATGTTATAGTAGCAGGTACAAATACATAAACAAAGTAAGAAAGTTCATAAATAGAAAATTTCCTCGAGGGCCGTACCCTGGGGCATCGTACCCAGGAGGCTGGATAAATTTCCCCTTTGGATTGCTCAATTTATTCTTTGGCGGAAATAACTTGTCACTTGGTCACCGGAGGCTCCTACGAGGCGATCCGACAGTTCGTTCTCTAGAAGTTTCGCCTGTGGACCCTAGGGACCCAGGGTTTCAACCGCAAAAGGCACAAAGCTGTAGCACTGAGCATGGTTCTCGTATTTGGGCCTTTTGCGGTTCTCGGCCGCTTTATCCACAGAGCTTGCGCCGCCCACGCTTTCAAGGACATGGGAGGGGGCTACAGTATCCTTTTTTTTATTACATTAACAAACAGCCAACTGAAAACCGTGATAACGGATAAATTTATCAAATAAAACATTATCAATCTGGGAGGTGCCAGTATTAACGTCTTAATTACTTTACAGAAACGGAATACGAGCGCATGCCTCCACTATACGCCCTCGACGAGTACAACTCCTGCCTTCGAAATCCAGGAGGAGTATACTGTCTGGTTGACGTCCATTTATCCGGAGACAACCGTCTCATGCACACGATAAACGTAATGTAGTTCGACGTTGTAATTTTGTGTAACTTATTATTGACTAGCTTCATCAACATAATCCATTCCGTTGTACGGACGGCAACATGTCATGATATGTCAAGCTACACATTGACATATCTTGTTCCGTGGTCCTGAAGACGATATTCAAACAAAAGCGTATAGCTTGGTGTGCCGTCGACGTACGTCCCAATGTTAGCAGGGGTGATACTTTGTATATACTCGTATATTGCAAGGAAATACTTGTAATAAGGCATCTTCTGTCTGTACTTCAGAGCGAGCTCGTAACGTGATAATTTGGCGGCTTGGTCGCGTTTTACTTTTTATTTTAGGTCTAATTTCGAGTAGACTATCATTTTTTAACCGACTTCAAAAAAGGAGGAGGTTCTCAATTCGATTGTATCGATTTTTTTCGTGTACATTATGCGATTGCACCGATTTTGATGAGTCTTTTTTTTACTGAAAAGGGGTACCTCAGTAGTTGTCCCGTTCAAATTTGAAGACCATATTTTACCTCGACGGGTGGCAAATTTGGGTGATCAATCCGGTATATTAGATTTCACTCCCTTTCCTTTAACCGATTAATTACACAAATGTTCGAGGTTTTTTTTTATAAAGAAGTTTTTTGCAATGACGATTATTATATGGGTATCCAGTTCAACAAGTTTACTACTCTGGCCAAGAATACGCAAATAATATATGGGAAATACCTTGCTTGCTTCCTAGAATTAAATAATTGGCCTATTAAACAAATACATCTCGTTGATTACAGGTCGCATAATGCGAGTTAAACCGGCGACCTGCACATGGAACTTGACTTTAGGTTATCTAAGTTTTGTTTACATATTGTTTTTCTAACATGGTTAAGCGGAACTTTGCCACTTATGTGTTATTATGGTTACTTAACATGCATGAGAGGTCGTTGAAAATTGATACTTGAGGGGAAAAATATTGTTGTTTCGAAAGAGAGATGACCTTGTTGATGACTTTATAAAAATTAATTAAGACACAATTTGCTAGTTCGTAGTCTTAGTAAGTGTGACTAGTAGGGCGCAATTATTGGGTTAGAAAAAACACATAGTTGTATTTCATTATAGGAGATGACGTTAATGATGGCTTTATAAAATAGAATTTGCTAATTATGATTAGCACAGGTAAAGTAAGCGTAAATGTAGGCGTTTTGGTTTATTGAATACGAGTTTACGTCTTACCGCGGTGGTGACAGTGAGCATTGAGGAGGCCCCGCGTGGGTACCCGGGAGGGTAGGCCTAATTGGGGAAATTAACTTCCTAAATTAGTCCCGGTGTGGGTGTTCTGGAAAGTGCTCCAGAGTGAATTCCGTAGCTCTGATACTCATAGTACAGGAAATTTCCTTCATTGAGACCAGGCAATTGGTGTGGTAGTCTGGCACACTGTTGAAAAAGTATTCAAGTAATATAATAATATTATTTAAGGCTACATGGAAGAAATAGCTACTTATCAACAAGGCCATCTGTCGTGCACATTAGCTTAATCTGTGATTCTTACATTACTTCCCTGTTGTCATTGTAATTTTTGAATGTGCAATAAATAATATTTCATTAATTAATTTAGTAGCAATAGAACTTCTTGTGAAAGAGTTCGCCCAGGGAAATACTGTCACCTTGTCTGTTTCTGCCACCAAAATGATGTCTTTTCACCGTTTTAGCAAGAGGTTTTGCTATTAGACGTTCAAAAATACGTAAATTAGATATTGAAGTCATAGAAACATACTGCCTCAGGAATTCGTTGTATCGACCGCTCAATTACCATCGCTCCACCGCTACTTATAAACATAAGGAATTTCCTGAGGTCTTGGTAACTGGCAGTTTTTTTATGATACCAAGTGAAGGGACGAACAAGTCGTGCACCTGGTGGTAAGCGACACGCCTGTTCAGAGCAGTTGCAGTACCACGCAGAGCTTTCAATCGCAAAGACCTGAGGGGCACTGCCACTGCACCCGTCACCCTGAGACATACAATGACAAGTCTCATGTGCCTATCATTTTACTAGCACCCTTTAACTTCAAAACAGGAACGCAATAAAGCATTATTATTGTTAACGCCAATACGCGTGTGTGATCTTGGAAAAATGACTTGATATCCGATTTTCACGTGGCTTTTAAATCTGTTCTAGGAATACTCAGCGTACTCAATGAAACATTTCAATCACACTCAAGTACACCGAGGTATCTGTCTAACTACAACATGTAAGGAACATGTACAAAATCATAGCTTACAAACAAACGAAGACCTACGACCGCTCCTTGAGGAATGCCTTAACGAATCTCTGTGGAAACGTTACGAATTGCATGGGCAGCTGGAAAATATACTTTATTGCAATAGAGAAGGAGATATAATAAGATACGACTTAAGTGATATCATCGTGGCTGTGGTTTATTTGACAATAATCGTGCTTAACATTACCGGAAGCTTATACGATGTCTTTTATTATAGGAAGGATGACAAGTCGGGTATGTGTATCTTTATTTAAATAAACACAGTGGACACATTTATATTTTCGGAATTGTTAGTGACTTCCAGCATCTATAAACTTGCGACATTTTGGCAATTGTCTTGAGCCGAGTCGTAAGTCTATGATTCTGTCATTGACTTTCATGAAATATTCTATAAATGTCAAAGTGTCATTGCGTTGCACGTATGAGAGGCACTTAGGTTTCTACTTCCTTATTAAAATATTTAGAGGAACGAATTACGATAACATACCTTATTTGTGTTTTTTAGGAAATCCCTATTTGTTATCGTTTTCCATTCGCCGCAATTGGGCGAAGTTGACCGCACCCGCGGGCGATGGGCCAGATCCGAGATTTAAAAGACTGAAACTATTCAATGGACTGAGGTAACCTTTTTGAAAAATTGTCCATCCATTTTTTATAATTCATAACACATTTACCAGTTTGTATAGATTGGCAAAAATTGGTTTAACTTTCGCCCGGCCAAATATTAAACATAACAATATTGAAAGTATATTGTGCATTTATTTACTGTTGCACTAAAAGAGACTTCTCATCGTGTTCTTATCTACCGACCCGAGAGATAGGGATTTCCGGAGAGACTACGGGCTCGATGGCAAGACCAGGATACAGCGGGCTTCCGGGCTAAGCCCTCCGCCAGTGATACGCCATCACTGGCGTCTCTGGTGGAACCGGAATTGGGTATGGACTCGCTGGGGTTTGTGGTGAGCTGCAGAGACGGACATGTTTGTCTGCCCCGGTTGCATATGGCCGGGGTCGTCTGTCTCGTGCGCAGCTAGCGTATCTTAGTAGCGATCTAGTTGAGGGCCTGAAGCGAGAAGATACTTAAGTTGGAAGCCATGTCCGGATATTGTGGCAGGACACTGCGACTGGCATCTCCGACATTAGCCCGGAGAGCTAGTAGAGGATGAGCTAGATGTCCTCCAGCCGCTTAGGCTATTGGGAACTGGAGAGACGTCATTTTTCAGCGTCGGGAGGTGAGCGTGTAGCATTATACTAGGTGCCATAGGTGCTTTTGTTTTTGTTGCTGCATTATACGTGCTCGCACACTCGCGTCCATACATACATCACGTCATGGTCACGACTACACTCCAACTTGAGGTCACTGCCATACTATTTATTACACAACATACTCCCGTCATAGATTGAAATGTGCTCAAATGTGAAATGAATATTTTGATATCAGTTCAAGGGAAAAAGGTGTCTGGTGTCGCACAATTCAATGTCAGCCTCCTCGTTTACCTTGGTTTGCAGAGTGCGACTATGGTAAAAATATAGTTGGCAATGACAACTAACTAAGGATGAGAACCAGACACGTTCCATTAAACGGTTTTGCTTTCTTAATGAAAAAAAAAACAATTCTCTTAATTGCGGATTAGTGAAATATGCATATCACTTGTTCCTGGAATGTGTCCGGTACCTAGAGACCTGCAGATCAACCAAACTATAAACTGTATTATACTAAGCAATCCCCAAACAAAACAGGCAAAAAGTCTGTTAGTATTTGTTGAATCGATTGTCCAAGAGTGCCGCCCTACATGTAAGCTATAGTTTAGGATACGATGGAAGTGGCATATATATTGTATAAAAGCTCCTAAATAAATAAGGATTAAAAAAAATGCTCTCGTCATACAGTTAAGTTTCATAAACTTGGTATTGAATTTATAAATAAAAGCTTCCTTATGTAAGCGTGTTAATGATCATATTACAATACAATAGAATAAAAACCATATTATTACACTGCCACAACACATTATACAGAAAGAATAACAAAAAAGACTACAATAGGTGTCTTTGTTTCTGTTGTTACATTGTGTTTAAACGCGCTCACACACACGCGCCTTCGCACACTCAAGCACTTGTGAGGCTCATCGCCTTATCATTTACTATATATTATATTTGAATCATACAATTTATTTTATTTTATTTTATTTTATTGGATGTACAAAACAGTTAACATTCAGGGGAACATGTTGCTGTCCCAGCAGCATCCTGAAGATGTTATGTTATTTGAATAAAATTGGGCAGTTAGGCTCAACTCACACTGGCGCAGAGTCGAAGCGTCGCGTCGCGTCCTGTTTTTCAGCTACAGTCGCGCGACGACGCTCGGATTAGTGCGCCAGAATCACAGTGTGGTAGGTGTCTGACGCCTCACTGCGCTCAAGTAACGCGCGAAGCCGCTCGACTGCAACCAAACGCGTTTTCATATTTGCATGACACAAATTTGTACCTTAATAATGGGAAAATATCAATGAATATGCTATAGGCGAAAAACATGACGCGTCGCGACGCTTTGACTCTGCGCCAGTTTGAGTTGAGCCTTGGTTATAACTTGGTTGTAACATAATAATGACATTGACATCTGATCTGTCAATATATTTTTCATGGCTTTGACCATTAGCTCATTAGTCAAAAGGTCCATAAAAATCATTTCCGTTTTGACGTTACACAGTATTAAAAATCCTTAACGATTTTCTAGAAATTGCAGGTAAAAGAAAAATTGTTTTTATTTCAGAATTTCTAGATTTTGAGAGCTCTTTCCAAAAAACCAACTGATAGCCTGGTTAAATTTCTAGATTTTGAGAGCTCTTTCCAAAAAACCAACTGATAGCCTGGTTAAATTTTCCATTTATGTTAGTGCCACTAACAGAACAACTTTTTTAGTTAGTTAATAACTTTTTTTTTGTTTAAATAGGAGAGTTGTAAAATTTTACATAGAAAATAAATTATTAGTTTCATGTGATGAAACACTTTGAACGAATGATCACATGTGTCTTTATCACGCCATGAATACGAATTATTTTCCTAAAGACACACACACACAAAATATATTTATTAGATGTACACGGAGATATAAAAATATTATGCGTAATTACAAAGTACCATACGTTATTATGAACGTTACTTGACATCACAATTATTGTTTTGACGTCATTGTGGCAATCTTTGGGGGAGGGTTATGTCTAATAGTGAACATCATTTTGCTGTAATGATAGTGACGAAGGCAGAGCGATAACATATTGTGGTCGTCGTTGAGTGATGGGAAGTCTGTACTGTATGCATTGTAAGTTTTATTATTGTAGTTACCACATATGGCTAGTTTAGTTCTGTTACCCCGTATAATCCCACTGCTGAGCTTGGGCTATCGCTCCTACGCGAGCCTATGTAATACGGATTGAGAACTTTATACACATCATTAATTTCCAAGATGTGTGCAAGTTTTCCTTCACCGAAAAGCTCATGGTAAATTTCAAATTAATTGTGTACATAAAATCGATAAAACTCAGATGTGCAATTCGAAAACACGACTCTCTGCTTGAGAGCCGACTATGAAACCATATAAAACTTTTTTCCTTAGCCTTTTTTTCCACTAATCTTGTGTTATGTTTTATTTTCAGAACAATGACAATGACGTGCGTGTTCTTCTCCCATACAACGCTCATTTCAGCGTACACGTATGTGGATAACCCGATTTACATTGAAAAAGTAAGCTCAAAATATAAATTGATGTGTTGAAAGAAAGATGTGCGTGGTTTGGCATTTTCATGATGAAATATACCTTTGTGATTCACCAGTTCTGGGTGTTTTTTAGTCTTAAAAACCGCGCTAAAATATTTGAATACCATTGTTAACAATGTTGTTTTCTAACCAACAAATTCTTTATCTCCAGTCATACGAGGATCCGCTGAAGCAGCTCCTTTTCAACGGCAGCCTGGTGACGCACACGTTCTTCGTATTGTCGGCCTTCCTGCTCGCGTACAATTTCCAGGTGCACGAGGAGAAGCATGTCATCAGTTGGTGGCACTGGCCGAAGGGAATGCTACTGAGATGGCTTAGGTACCTGGGTTCTGTGACCTTTCCAAGGCATTTGATTGAGTGCACATGACGCTAAACTTCGGCATTGTGCTGTGGCGGACCGTGACCTCGACCTTCTTAAATCGTATTTGAGTGATAGGGTACAGAGAGTCGATGTCAACGGTGTGAGTTATCAAGGTCTGCAATTACCATGCGCGTCCCTCAAGGTTCAATTAGAGGTCCGTTTTTATTTTTAGTTTATATTAATGATTTAGCGAGTCTCGTGGAGGTAGTGAAGCAAAATCTTTATACCAAAGGAAAAAGCAAACAATAAACGCAAAAAGAATTTTTTTGCGCGGTGTTAATAAAATTAATTTTAAAAAACAAGAGTTCTCTATAAAGTTGAGAACACTTAAAGAAATGATTATACTAACCGACACGGAACTACATTAAGTCGATCAGAAAAAGCCTTATAACCATGCCCGTGTCCTAAAAAGAGTGAAAACCTGTTTGGCATCGGCGGTCCTTGCGGAAGCTCTACGCTACATCTTCTTTGCTCGCATGTACTTACAGCTTTTTTCACCGGCTCAAGTCGATAGACCCATAATCTATAAAGCTCCAGACCCATATTGAACAGCATGATATTACTACGGATTACATAATAACAGTAGTCAATTACACAGGTTTTTTATCAGAAAAACGTCACAACACTTTACATGAGTTCTATATGAAGTTCACTTTTCAAGTAGAAAGATAGATATAAACATACATTCACTAGTATGACACAAATACAAATTGAATACAACATAAACAAAAAATAAAATATATTTTGTCATAGCAGTGAAATGGCGCTGACTGAGCATATGCCTAAGTTCCCTAGGGCACTGGTTTTCAGTCAGAACCAACGAGAGGTACTAAATCTAGAAGTTATTTGTAATGAAAGATCTTATAAACGACTAGGATGGAAATTGTTCGTAAAAATAATAAATGTAATAATAAATAATGAATGTGGTTAGTGCAAATAAAATAACCTATTCAATATGTAAGAGCATATGCGGATTTCGTCAGAATAATAACTAATTCACACATAGGTTAGAATTGGGATTGGAAACCTTTTTTGTCGACATCATTAGCAGCCACAAACGCAATAACATATGAAATTAGAGACTGGCGCCGCACAAGATTCGAAAAATAATAGTAACTTGCTGCTTTAAATTGAAATTTTAAATAGGAAACTCGTGAGACTCCAACATATTTAAGTCCAGTTTTTGCTCAATTTTTTGAACCAGTCCATGGTTCTTAGTCATGAGCTTCCGCGGCGTTGACTCGACGAAAACCGTTGATATCAGTGCAATATGAACTTTTTTATCCAGACTAACTCCAACATATGCCCTGGTTTTGGCCACGATATGCACATGGATGCGCTACGCTGGCTCCGGCCCTCTGTGGGAGCAAGTCGTAGGGACCGAAGCTACTGCTTGCCGAGAATACTGGTGGGCGCACGTCCTCTATATCAACAATTACGTTTACGATGATGCTTTATGTGCGCCTCAAACGTGGTAAGGACAATATTATTTGATTCTATTTCCAGTTTTTCATCAATTCTTCTCATTTTTGTTTACAAATCAACATTAAATTAAAATTAACAAATTTCATTTAGTTATCGTCGGGGATAGTGCAAATCCGAGTATTTAGTATTGGTGAAAAACGCGTATCTGCACCAAATCAAATTTCACAGGAGAGGGATTTAACGTTATTACTTTTTTTAATATATAATAGACACGCGCTTGGCCGCAATCTCACCTGATGTTAAGCGACGATGTGGCCGACGATAGGACGCGTTTGCCCAAAAAATGCCTATTCACTCTAGCCTTGAATCAGCAACAGGTCGTTGATATGCAGCAAAAATAGAGTTACCATTGAAGTAGGTACTTTGTTATTTTTGTTTTGTTTTTACTTTCGTTTTTGCACAGTAAGTATTAATTTATGTTGTCTACGGACTGCTAACAATAGATTCCCGTAAATCAGGCTAATTTAGTTGCCACGACATTTACGCGAATTTGATTTGGCAACTAAATTACCGAAATGGAGACTCATAATCAAATGCTAGTTACGCTTGATACCCGACGATGTCTTACGCTGATAAAGCAGTCTTGTGTCAAGGTCAGTGCATTTATTAGTTATACATATCTTAATTCAGCTTACCACCGAAGCTGTGCATGTGGTTTCCGATTTAGCGGGTTTTAGTTTAGAAGAACGCACTGACTCCAAATTAGTTGATTAAAACACCTACCGATTGCGCCTGCCAATTTCAAGTAGGATCGGTACAAGCTTAGTGTCCATCGCCATTTTGAATCTGGCATCGTTATTTTTTTGTTCAGACATTTAACGGCATTCCCTATTTATCTCAAATAGTTTTCGAGATAGAAGACTATGAAATTTGTACGACAATCGTTTTGTATATTTGAATTTTGTACATATTAATTAATTCATGTTCCGTAGCTTTTGTAGACTCTGTAAACTCGGAATGTTTCAAAATGTTTTCTTGCAAGTCGACCACAATAATACGTTTTTTTTAACAGGTACCTGGCAGCAGACACTCAACTGTTTTCTATAGGCCTGCTCGTATGCGTGTTGGCACGAAGCATGCGTGCGCGCAAGATCGCGCTGCTGTTCTTGTTTACAGCGGCTCTGGTCGCACCCGCTGCGCATACGTACTTCCAGGAATTAGAGGCTGTTGTTATACAGTCGCCTGAGTAAGTTTGTTATTCTTAATCAGAGATCTTTCGGTGCAATAGTCTTGGCTTTATTGTTTGAAAGTCCACTAATGTCATAACAATTGTAATCATAGACCAAAATATACCTAACACTGCAATTAAACCACGTCACCTCATACTTTTACATTTTCATGGAAAGGGAGATTTTTCTACGCAGCTTTGAATTAGTCGGAAGGAATAGAGATGGTCTTATTCATTTCACTAGCCAAAAATACACTGCATTCTTTTGTCATAGTAAAATTTCAGAATAATTTTCTATTCCAGAGATTACCGTTCCCTGTATGCGGACGACCGTACTTTCCGCCTACTATATGTGCGTGGTCACACCAACCTGTCCACGTATACGCTGGGTCTCACCGGAGGATTTCTCGCTTATTACTGGCAAAAGAATGGGAAGAACTTTGACGAGTTCAAGGTAATGACTAGACGAATTACCATCTATAGCACTTGTGCCAAAAAAACAAAAGGGAAGATTCCTATATTCCGAATCAATTATGACAGTTTGAGTTTCGTCTATTTTATCACTGCTTCCAAGTAGCGACGTTGTAATTTATTTTTATTTATTTATTTATTTATTTCAGGCAACTAGGACCCATAGATACATACCTTACAGACTAACATGCATATAATATAACAATAACAATATAAAAACAAAATACACCTATGTATATTATATATACCTTAAAACAAACATACATACAATATAATAATAAAAACTAATCTACACGATTTCCCTTATCGGCGACGTGTGGCGCAATCTGGTGTTAGGTAACCGGCCGCGGAATCGCCGATATATGACACCCTTCGGCCAAAATTCCTCTTTCATGAAGGTCGAAAGATGTTCGGTCGGTATTCTCACCACAAACGAATTGAAGTTCACGTTGCGGCGAGAGTTGTAATGGTTGTGTATTATAATTTGTATGTTACCACTATTCCTCAAAACCACAAAATCTATTTTGAAATGGTTTTCTAAATATTTTTCGTATTCCTATCACCCAGACATCCGTGGCGATTAATTTTTATCTTTTGTCTACCAGAAATACCGCTGGATGTTCTGGCTGTTGTTCCCCCTGGGCGTGGCTGTGATCCTCTCGGGAGGACTGTTTTACTCTGACGGAGAGCCTGCCTCCACTGCCCTCCGGGTCCTCTATGCGACCTTCTACAAGCCTGTTTTTCAAACTATCATTGTCATATTCATTCTTGGCTGCATCTTTAAGATTGAATGTAAGTTGTGACATTTTTATGAAAAATATAATGTAATATCTTCTTTATTATGACGATAGGAACCAATGCCACCACTAAATTTGGTCCGGTTTAGGGTTTAGGTGTAACTTTGTCAATGCTTCTGCCACTATGAATGAATCAATTTTAGATGTGTTAGAATCGGAATTTAACGTATAACTTGAGCTTCACAACGAAACTTTTACGTAGAGTTTAAAAAATTGATAATATCTGTTAAAATAATATTTAACCTATATACAGTGCCACTGCTGGGCGCTGGCCTCCTGCCACAATGTAAGGGATTGGGCTGTAGTTCCCCCACGGTCTTCACACACATAATCAAATTGCTTTGCAGATGTGTGCAGGTTTCCCCACGATGTTTTCTTTTACCGAAAAGCTCATGGTAAATTTCAAATTCAATTGCGCACATAACTTCCGAAAAACTCAGAAGTGCAAGCCCGGATTCGAACCTACGACTTTCTACTTGAGGTCAGACCTAATGAGACCTAATGAGGTTACCACGGTTTCATAATAATACTATTTAAAAATCTTTTCAACTCCAGAAACAAATTTGGCAATTCGACATAAATTCACATTACGAGTGACTGTTTCTGTTTGTTTGTGATATAGCGCTTCAAATGGGCAAGCGCCCGGGTAAGAGAGAGTCATTGCATTGCAGGATTGCAAAGTGGATATTGTGTAGAGTTGCCTCTTTTTCGTCTAAATAAGATTTTGTACATCGAAATTTCTAATAAGCATGGAATTATACCAAATTCCGTATTATTTTACGCCTATAATGTTTCTGCCTACGATTTTGGACAAAAATGTGTTTGGGGTAAAAATCCGGTTTAAACCCGCCCGAGTTGATTGGGTTTTATTGCCCATCAGCATTGACTTACAAATAAATGGACGACGGATCTAATACAAAAACCACGAAAAAAATGTCCCAAGTCAACCTATTTAAACGTAGTGACATGTAAAGGAATATGAAAAAGCTAAAACGTTGAATTTAAATTGTAATGTCATCGCAGTACTGTCTAATTTTGCTTGCTTCGCTGTCAGTCGAACAAACGAAGACTAGTGCGGGAATAGCGTTCTGTATACGATTTTAACGCCCTATAAGTTCGGACATTTTTTAGCGCGGACCCGACGTCCATATAATATATTGTAAGTCAATGCCCATCAGTTTCCAGAAGTGATCAGCACTTAAAAAGAATTAAATTTGATACGTTTAAAATGAGAGCCCCTTTAGCAAGGGGACCGACGGAGATGACGGGTGTATCTTGTTTCAAGTTCAAATAAATTTAGCATTACTGCAAGCCATGGGTCGAACTCCGCAACACTGGCTGGTCCGAAACAATTTCTATCTAATAACCAATAGGTACTCGACCAAAATTAAAGACGCAGAATGCGAATGAAGCTTCACAATTGACATTATTTTTTGCTGTGGTCGAGTATTACTTATTTGACAGTCATTGTTTCGGACCAATGTCGGACAAAGAACGGAAGTAGACCCACATGTTATATTGCAGCTGTGTACAGAGGCATAGTCGAATGGCGAGGCTTCACTTGGACAGGGCGGGTGAGCTACGACGCGTTCTTGATCCACACAGTGTTCCAGCGCGGTCTCATCGGAGCGCAGACCCAGCCAGTACACATGACCGATTACAACGTCGTAAGTGCTTTGCCGCTGTCAGGCTCATTGTTTGTTGGGTTGTTAATAATAACGCCGGTTTTGAACACAATTTGCCGTTTTCAACACAAAAAGAACAACGTGGCTGACGCCACAAGCATAGGAATAAGTACATCGTCTCTGTTTTGTGGACATTAAAAAAGTTACCTATAATTTCAGTTGACAGTCCTTTATGAAGCAACAGTTAAAAAAAATTAACATCGAGTGTGCCTCCCCTGGAAAAGTTGAAACTTTCTAGTTTTCCATACAACAGAAAAAGGAAAACACAGGACACAAAAAAGGACAACAACTTGAAAGATAATTTGTTATTAATAGTGTTACTTAGCCAGCTAGTAGAAACAAGAAATAGTGGACTGTATTAAAATACGCTTACATTTTAATTTCACTATGTTAAAAAAATCTTTTTAAAATTCTAGAATTTTTTAGTTAGACCAAGTTTAAATGTTGCAGGTGGTGATTCTCTCGGCCACAATCTTCCTGTCGTTCATGAGCGCAGCCATGCTGTTTGTGTGCGTGGAGGCACCCGCCGCCAGCCTCACCAAGGCGGTGCTGGCGCCAAGTGCCAGCGGGAAAGACTCTAGGGAGACTAGCAAGGTTTAGGGAGAAGGCAGGTGGTTGAAGAATACTTAGTAAAGCTTTTCTAATTTATTGTTTTATTTAATAATGAGTCAGTAAACACTTATTATTTTATTATAAAATATGCAACGATAGGTGTTATTAATGTTAGTATTGGGAATATTGATAAACATGAGAGTATGTAAAGAAAGAAAGGAATAAAGAAACGTTTATTCGATTACAAAATATAATAATAATTTAAATATAACAAATAATTTAAAAGAAAGAAAGGATAACAAAAAAGAATAAAAGACACACAATAATACACAAGAACATGGGCTAGCCAGCTAAGCTTCAGAAGAACTAAAGTAGACTATAAAATATTAACAAGGCAAAAGACAATAACAAAATTACAGAAATCCGTGAGTATCAAACTTAAAAAAAATCCAAATTAAAATAAATTACAAACTACGTCAGTTACATAAAATTCAAAACATCGCTTCGAATGCATTATAATCTCAAATTGTCCGCTTCACGAACACTAATCTATTGCCTCTTCGTGTATAGTTTAATAGATTTTTCAAAGATATTTTTGGCACCTGTTGTCTTGAGTCTAGTAACTTTGGCTTGTTAGGGTTTAATGTGAATGAGTTACGCATTGCCCACTGGCAAATCGTTACATTGTCGCATCGCTTAGCTTTATGACAAGTATAATGGTAAGTCATCAACGTACAAACACAGTATAAAGATCAAAACAGAGCCCTAAGGGACACCGCTACTAGCATGAGCAAAGCATGACAATCTCGCAGAATTATTGCTCCTACTTACTCATATTGAGAATTATTTAGTTAAGCTAACAAATAATTTTATTCTGTGTTTGTCAAAACTGCAATAGACTAATTAGGATAATAGGACAGAAAAATTTATAGTATCGAATGCACGAGGAAAATCAATAAATATAGTTCCCATTCCAAAATCTTGAGGTTCTAAAATATTACTTATGACATGAGTCGGAACTTCACGTAATTAATGAATTCAGACCTTACTTTGCGGAAATCCATGTAATAAAAACAGTTAACACAAGCGCTACTATTTTGCAAGGTTTAACCGTCTCTAGGTTCGCGGAGTAGCAAAGTTATTTATATGAAACACAGCTGTAAAAAGATAGATAGCATTATTATGAAACACAGCTGTAAAGGGTGCAGTTTTTTAGTAAAACTCGGCTGACCTTGAGAAAGACTGTTGTTCTATTCCAAAAACTCTGTGAGCTGCAGGCATTCAACCATTTCCAGCACTTTAGACCCTCAAGATAGTATACTACTAGGACGAAAATCCTTTAAAGTAGCGAATTTTTTCGCATTCTTGAGACTGTTAGTAAGACTCAAAACAGATGCAGGAGCAACACTTGATGGTAACGATAACACTTTCGGCTCTGTGAAACTTGGAAGGAAACTTGGAAGCTTAGACAAATAATTATTATGGTTTAGTAAGTGGAGTGAATTCTATTCATACCGGCTGAAGATACAAAAATTCTATTTACGTCATCAGCAGAGCAAAGATGAGTTCGAAGGTCGGCTTTAGGTTCAGGAGGAAGTTTATTTAACTTGCATAAGTTCAGGATCCTTTAAAGATCAGATAATGTGTTGCCTAAAATAAGCCTAATCTTACCTCTTATCTAGGTTACATTATCATTACTGGTTTGAATTATCACAACTTGTTTGAAGTATTACTTGTGTCAGATGTCACCGCTCTTTCAAACCGGTGCAGCCATTGATCTTAGGTCAATGGGTGCGGCTATTACTTATTATGTATACTAATTAAAATTTAATTATAAGTGTGTGATTGGTACACGTGTGTGTGTGTATGAGACTCGCAGAAGATTTTCAATTTCATTGTAGTGTTTTTTATTTTACACATTTACTTCTCTCTATTCTACACTCATAGGCGCTTAGCGGATACACATGCAGCAGTTTATTAATCTGGTTATAAATATTATTGGATATTTATAACGAGATTATAGTCACTTATAAGGGGAGAAACTGGAAGACTTGTACACCTGCATAGGGTTACTTTATAAAGAAATTGGTCTTAACCGTAAAAAAAAGTCTTAACCGCGACACCACAGACCTGAGGGACGTCTATCGTCTACCAAGTAAGAAGGAGAATGGCACTTCGACCATAATTGTGGAACTGGTGAACTCTCTCTCAAAAACGAAGCTTTTAATTGCTGCTAAGACTTACTATCGGACAAAAAAAGTTGATATATTCGCTTCGTCTCTCGGTTTCAATGCGCAAGCCACTAAAATATATATCTCGGAATTCCTTACGGCTAAGAATCGGCGCCTCTTGCACATGGCCAAAGATCTTAAAAGAGAGGGAACATTTGATTTTTGCTGGACTGCGGGAGGAAACGTCTACCTGAAGAAAAACGAGAATGCCCCTTCCATATTAATAAGAAATGAAGAACAAGTGTTTAATTTACAGAAGTCTCCGTGACTAGACGTGTCTTTTTGCCTTTGTTATTGTTATGCTAGTAAGTCAAATACTTTTTACATTTTAGTACTCACCAACACACATTTACATTCACTCTCTCTCACTCATACACACTCAATTCCCATATTTCTACTTATTAATAGCTCAGAAAACTCTTGCAATTCATTAGCTTTAGCACTTACTGGAACTTGTCTGAGACAGCCCACATATTTTCCACAGGCCACCATCAACAGCCCATTCCATTTTTATAAGCATATCATTCGATAGCGTTAACGATCTTCTTCATAATATTGATGAATTAAAAATTTCGGAGGCTGGAGAATGTGGCGCTGAGGATGTTTCGTCATTATTGCGAGTCCCTAACAAAAAAATGAAGTTGTTGTCTATCAACATACGTAGCATAAATCATAACTTTGACGCCCTTCTAACTTTAATTTTACGTACTAAAATTGAGCCTGAATTTGTTATTCTTACCGAGTGCTGGCTTTCTTGTTGTCATGGCAATATTCCAGCCTTAAACGGATATTCGTCTCATTCGACATCTGACAACTACAACCAAAACGATGGTGTAGTAGTATTTGTAAAGAGCTCAATCTCCTTTTCTATTACTGAACCCTATTTTCCAGAAACTAACTGTTTGATTATTAAAATTGCAAATCATACAGCAATAATCTCGATTTATCGTCCCCATTGTTTTAAGCAAAATGTAACCACCTTTCTGAGTTCCCTTAACGATATTTTGAAATCGCTTGCATCCTTCCAGACAATTATTTTAACCGGCGATATCAACATTGATATTGCTCCAGGTAGCAGTGAAGGATGCAGTGATGATTATTGTAATCTTTTAGCCATGCACGGAATGCTTCCGGCACATACCTTTCCTACTCGGGATTCAACATGTTTAGACCATCTTATTTTAAAATCTAAAAAGCGAAGTATTACTTTGATAATTACATCATTTATTACGGACCACAAGCCAATATTATTTGCCTTAGACTCTGAGTTACCGAAATGTCCCCCGCGTGTCGTTGCGAAGGTTGATTATGCTGCCGTTGATATCGCGATGTCTAATATGGACTTTTCCTCTGTTCTCTCGTGTAATGATTGTAACGCTGCTGCATCCATTCTTGTTAATCTTCTTGCGCAGGCACTTTTTTCAAACACCAAAACTCTGAAGTTGTCACATCGGTTTTCTATACTCAAGCCTTGGATTACATTGGGATTGCTACGATGTATGCGAAACCGGGACAATATGCATAGGAAACTTAGGGTGACACCAAATGACAATATCCTATTGATTGCTTATCGGAGGTACCGGAATTATTGTAATGAAATATTAAAAAAGTTAAAGCGTAGCTATCAAAGAAACGAGATAATAGAAGCTCGTTCTAATAATAAAAAACTTTGGAAAGTCATTAAAACCAATACCTCCATGGAAACACCAAGGGAATCCGCTTTGGAATTACTAAAATCCCAAAGCTTGCCACAACTTTCTGTTAATGCTTGTAATGAATACTTTGCAAGTGTTGGCAGTTCCCTGGCCGAGGTTATCGGATCTAAGGATTTGGGGTCGACCACTTCCTCTTCACATGGCACACAGGTCTCACAATCATTTGCCTTGCTACCTACAGACGAAGACGAAGTATTGAAGTTGATTACTGGTCTCAAAGCTAACTGTGCTGTGGGTTGGGACGGAATACCATCAAACTTCCTTAAAAGATATGCCGCTTTATTATCACCAATCATTGCCCATGTTTGCCAGTTAAGCCTTACATCCGGCTGTTTTCCCGATGTTTTTAAAAAAGCTGTCATAACACCAATATTCAAGTCAGGGGATAGAGACCGTGTCTGTAACTATCGCCCAATCTCATTGCTTCCCTCGTTGTCCAAAATTCTCGAGCGAATCATGAACACTCGATTAATGAAATATTTAGAAAAATATAACATTCTGTCTCCACAGCAATTTGGTTTCAGAGCTAGTAAATCAACAGACGGTGCTGTTCATGAGCTAGTTAATTTTATCGTTCGCGGTTTGGACAATGGGAAGAAATGTCTTTCCATCTTCTTGGACCTGGCTAAGGCTTTTGACACGGTCTCGATCCCACTTTTACTCAAAAAGCTTGAGGGCGTCGGGGTAAGAGGAGTCGCACTTAAATTATTTCAATCTTATCTTGCCAATCGTACTCAGCAAGTTAAAATTGGAAACTTCACCAGTGACGAACTCTCAATATCGTATGGAGTGCCCCAAGGAAGTATCCTAGGGCCATCTCTGTTTCTGATGTTTATAAATGATTTGTGCCAAAATAAGTTACCAAATGGGATGGTGATATCCTTTGCTGACGACACAACACTTTCGTTCCAAGCTGACTCTTGGCAGGAAGTTTTTCAATTTGCTCAAATAGGGCTCAACTCTATCCTAGGTTGGTTAAACTGTAATCTGTTAACTTTAAACGCACAAAAAACCAAATATATGGTATTTGGGATGCGCTCTAATTCGCTGCCTACTATTGGCCACACACTCATTGCTCATGACTCTCCTGATAGTTGTAATCGTGGTGGATGCCGGTGCCCCGCTCTGCAATCCGTCCAAGAGTTCAAATATTTGGGTATAAATATTGACCAACATATTAAT